TTATGTTGTTGTTGAGTCTTAGCTAACAATGTTAGAAAAGGTTTCGACCCTAAAAATGTCACACCTCACCCCTACCTCGCGGATTTCCAACTCCGGCGGTAAGGGTGCCCACTAAGGGCTTTCAAGAGCGGAGCTAATACTCCAAAAACCTTTAATAAAATGGGCCGTAGTGCGTGACCAGCCTCAAGCAGTTGTTCCCTGGGCTCTGAAGTCACGCAACCAGGTTTCTAAGACTCAACTGCCTAATCTCTGAACTTACGGGATGACTCATAAGACTTTGGTAAACAAGCAAACCGCTTTTCTGTACAAAAAATATCCGCGTTATTTAATTTTTAAAAATAAAGAATGCCGTGGCTACCACTACGTGTTCTTTGTTGGTGTGAAGTGCTGATCTAATCTTGTGTGTATGTGTGTGGTGATTTTAGATCTGATCCGCCCTTCAGTGACTGCTCTGATTACACGTGATCATTTAAGGGGTCAGAGAATAATTACATATCTGTTAGAATTCTATAGAAAGAGAAAACTAGATCAATAAAGAATCTATTTTCTGTTCTTTTAATCAGGATCCGAGTCATTTATTAACTTGGACACTCTTCAATATTTTCAGGCAGAGCTATGGAGGTTTGTGATTTTACACATGTGAAATCATCAATCAATCATTGTTAGACTACCATTAGAAACATGGAAGCACTGGACAGCCGTTTCTGCCTGGTATGGGACTCATTAGCAGTGCGCATCCACGACTCCTGCACCTAGCAGGATTCGAGCCCGGGACCTTCGGTATTGTGTGCGAACGCCTAACCATCGGACCACTCTTCAGTATATCAAAAGTCTTCGATATAATAAAGCAAACATTTACTTCCGAACAATTTTGTAAATTGATTACCCTGCTTGCATTCTATTTCATCTTTTTCCAATTGCATGGAATTGTGACTATTTTTACAACATTTAACTGGTAAAATTATTTTAGAAACCTTAACAGGTTAAGCTATCGTGAATTTTTCACTGAGTAATAAGTTAAGTTACACAAAACAGTACTTCATTTGTAATAACCGTACCTAAAGAACAAGAATCGAGTGCAAAGAAATCAATCGGTTTAAATTAGCTTGTGAAAAAGATATTGGATATTGGAAATACTTACTTGAATAGGCGCATCTCCAGCTTGTGAAGCATCAACAGTAAATTGAGCTGGTTGTTGTGCTCGAGCACCTCTAGGTTCTAAACCTGGACCGTAACAACGTACACGAGTTGGATCAACCACATCTCGTATTGGAACTTGAAATGGACTACCTATTTGGAAAGTAAAATAAATGAACTTTTTATTACATTTTTAAAATCAAGATGCTTAAAACGGATAGAAAAAAAAGATAATTGGTCTGATTATTTTTATTTCCTGTTTTAGCTACTTGTGTAACACATATTAGCCTCTAAATAGTAAAGCTTGGTTAAATAATATACTAACAAAGACAAATGTGTGAGGTCGCGCAAAATCCCTAGAACAATCAGAGTTAGACACTAACACCGTTCGATGCCGGCTCAGTGGTCCAGATGTTAGGTGTTCACGCACAATACCGAAGGTCCTGGGTTCGAATCATGCAGGGGGCAGGAGTCGTGGATGCACACTGGTACTGATGAGTAGTCCCATACCAGGACGAAACGGCCGTCTTTCAGTGCTTCCAGGTTTCTAATGGTGTGGTCTAGTAACAATGATTGATTGATGATTTCAAATGTGTAAAAACACAAATCTCCGGAACTCTGCCCTAAATAATATACACAAAAACCTTGAATGATATGAACTCTTATTTTATTATCAACATCTTCTATAAATACTCTCTAATAGTTGGCTAGTTTATACGAGAATGGCTATCGATACGAATAATTGAATTAAATTGAGAACACAGAGAAAAAAAGACATCTGGTGAGGATCAACTTTATTGATAAGCTCCTTTGAGAAGAAAATATAAATATCGAAGTTATTAGTAATTTTGTCAACCATTCAAAGGCTAATAGTTTTCCATTACACATTTCCTAGCCAGTCAGTCAGTCAGTTACAACGTAGAGCTTCGTATGTACGTACATAAGTTCAGGTTGCCATACCACATTAGCACAAAGACGCAATTGTCAATTCTTATCTCATAGTAGTAGAGGTAGTAGAAGTATTAGCAGTAATCCGAGGGATTAGGGTTTGAAGAAATGATTGAAAAAGTTCACTTGTCAGTGACTTCATCAATTTATGCCATGTTTGTTTGGACGCGCCTAGCTTTCATCCAACCTACTCCTACCCTACGAAACATAGCTCGTCGACGCAGTTGGTGGTTGGGCATACGTAACACATGCCTCAACCAATTTTGCGATCCCTGCCTGGTACTTGTTTCCTAACGACATCTCTTTGTTGGGATATTCATTCAATATCCTTAGAGAATTATTGATCGATTCCTACTGGTCAATTTTATGGTCGTCCTAGATATCAATGTCACGTGCTTCAATGCTGTTTCTTATAGGTCGTTCTGACCATCAGTGTCACTTCAAACGTTTTTTTTCCTATTGTTCGCCTTAACCGGCAATGTCACAGACTTCGATGATGTTTCCTATTCGACCCAAATGTATATATACGCATTATCTCTAACGGTTTACGACCCGGACTCGGATCCCTATTCCGGGATCCTGATTCTATTCTGGACTCGGACCTCGTACTTTCTGGATGCGTGTAGAATACAGGTTCTACTGCATATCAAGTCTTCTTCTTTTATTCAATGGGGGTTGAGACAATCGGATTAGAGTAGCATGTCATGAGGCCGGATCCTCGATCCTCGCTCTGACTAAGGTAAACTCGTAATAGTTCAAGCATATCAAAATGACATGTTTACGTCCATGCGTAACACTCTGGAACCAATCGTTAAGTGGTTTGTTGTAACTTTTAAATATGTCATTTGTTTGTGATCATCTAATGAAGTTCCCATTCAATAGAATTCTATAAGTGATCAACGATTAATTTGTGTGTAAAACTTATGACAACTAGTATATCTGTACAGGTTGAGTTTCAGTTTGAGTAAAATGTAATTATATCAATGGCTATACTCCAATGGATTGCAATTTGAATAAAGCCTACAGAAAAAAGCCTAGGGATAAGCGTAGTGATCACAAAAACCAAGACAGGGCTGCTTATGTTTTGAATACAACTGGAGGATTTTATTATTGATGCCAAGATTCCATTTATAGATGTTATTATTTTGAAATGAGAGTGAAGCTAATGTATTATAGGATAGATACAAGGGATTGTATATTAGTTCTTCTGACGCATTAGGGTTTGCTGTTAGTCGGAGCTTAATATATAAACAGTAATCTATGATGTATCATTATCTAGAGTCTTCCACTTGTCATTTGATTGTGTACTTAGACAAAACATATTACGATCAGCTGTTGATGGGATTGGAAGATAATTAACGTTAGTGAATTGGCTGCGCATGTAGATGCAACCACATGTTAAACATAGCCAGACCTGAGATCAGCTAATATTTTTTGGGCATTGACTGTACTTAAAAGGTATCATCGGTAAGCGAAACAAACTTAATTCCGACCATGCGAAACGTGAAACACACATAAACATTGATTTTAATTCAAATTAAAATCACATTTATAAGTAGTCATGTCATAACAATTCAACTTGCCTGGAATATTCCTGTCATTAAATTTAACAAAAATGTCATATGTTCCTGCCCGTGTTGGTAAGTAGTCCACTGTACATGTTCCATCCTTATTATCTTGACATTGTATTTGAGCGTCAGCAGGACCTTCTAAAGCTAATCCAAGAGCACCTTGACCTGCACCATCTAAGTCAACTGTGAATCTTTGCATTTCATGAGTAAGTCCACCTTCTAAACCTGGACCGTAAGCTCTCACTCTTGTTGGATCACATCCAGGAGCAACATTAACTGGGAATGGACTACCAGGTACCGGAGCTCCATCATAAGTAACTTCAACGTGATGTAAGCCTGTAAAAAGTTAAGATAAAAAGAAAATGACTGTTCGAATTTTGCTTGGTTTTAAGACGTTTTGGCATACATGAGTCTTGGTTTTTCCTTAATGATTAAGAAAATTCCCTGTCAAATATTTTTGTGAACATTGGAAAATTCAAAACAGTGGTTCCCTTTGATAAATTTGAACAGAGAAATGAGAAGACATATTTGGTGAGATAGTACCATTTCGTGCTTTCTCGTCAGTCACATACAGGCAACATGTTATTCGTGTAAATACAGTTTTGAAGATAAGGTCAAAATTTCTTATTTAGCATGACATTCAATCACTAGAAGAACCATGGTAAACTAAGGTAAACATACAGTTGTTTTTGAACACATAAAGTTGGACTTTTCCGACCAATCAAGATAGCTTTGAGTAGTTTCAGTGTGTGTGGTACATTGGATTTCAAGCTTATTACTGAGACACTGAAATTAAACGGATATCCCGAAACGTTTATTGGTCATCAGAACGCAACTACGACGAAACTGATAGCACCTGATGTGGCCAAGAAACCAGTGTACCTACAGTTACCTTTCAAGGGTGATCATTGCATGAAAATTACAACCAAACAGACTGCAGCTGCAATAAAAAAGACCTTCAATGCAGCTAATCTGAGGCTTATCACAACAACTCAATCGATCTCAGTTACCCCAATCAAGTCTACAAGACCGATTCAGTCTAAATCCCACTGTATTTACCAATTCACATGTAACTGCGGAGAAAGTTACTTAGGTAGGACAGATCGCCGATTGGAGGACAGGATAGGGGAACATATTCCAAAATGGCTAATCAAATCCATGATTCATCTACCTAGCACGTCATCTCAAGATCAATCAAGAAACCCAGCCTCGTCCATTGCAAAACATCTAATGATGAGTGGTCATCAAATTGACCCAAAATCAGCCTTTATAGAGTTGTGACATGTCATCACAACACACACACACACACTCAAACTACTCGAAGCTATCTTGATTGGTCGAAAAGTCCAACTTTATGTGTTCAAAAACAACTGTATGTTGACCTTTGTTTACCATGGTTCTAGTGAGTGAGTGAATGTCATGCTAAATAAGAAATTTTGACCGTATCTTCAAAACTGTATTTACACAAATAACATGTTGCTTGTATGTGACCGACGAGAAAGCACGAAATGGTACTACTATCTCACACAAAATATGTCTTCTCATTTCTCTGATCAAACATTGGAAAATTCAGTAAGCATCAGGTCAAAATATTTATTCATTCTTTTTAAGCCTTAACTTTCGCCAGTGATATTTCAACCAAAACCAAGATTTTCTGATATTTTGAAGGCTTGTAGAGAATAGGTTGGAGTCCATATTATTTACTAGGAGATAATCATCCACGACGCCCACACGTGTGGATTGAACGTAGAACATTCGATCTCATGCGCGAACGATCAACCTCTAGACCAATGACTCAGCATCCAGTTGCGTTATTGCCTAAATGACAGCCATCCACTACTTCCAGGTTTCCAATCGTGATCCAACACATTAATCGATTCAATCGATTTCAATAAAATTACACACATATTTTGAATTTATCAAAATTTACTTACCATCATCTATTGGTGAATAACTACATTTATAAGTTCCATCACCATTGTTTTGTATTAAACATGCTGTTCTTTGTTTATTCGGACTAACAACAATCGCTTTGACTATACCTCTACCTTGTGGATCAACTGTTTTAGCATCAACTGTGAATTTAGCAAATGATTCTTTGAAAACACCTTTAAAATCAAAATATTCATAAAAATTAGTTAAAATAACAATTTACGAAAACAAATTGTTAAGCAAGCATGATTTATAATTTCAAATATACATGCTGTTTAGGTTTCATTTAATTGCCTTAGAGTCATGCAACATCAACATTAAATCTATGGATACAAAAGCTTAATTAAAGAGAAATTTACTGGATCAAATCATGCGAACAAATTAAATTATTGTTTCAATCAATTAAATTTTCAATTTTAAAGAAATTTTTTATATCATGCAAATTAGTAAGTAGTATATGTGTAGGCATTCCTATTGATTTTTATCCTACCAGTAGGTTGTAATCCAGGACCGTAGGCATGAACTCGAGATATATCAATATGTTCTCTACCAAGTGGAGCTACTCTAACAGGGAATGGACTTCCTTTAATATGTGTATCTTTATATAAAACATTGACAACATATGGTCCAGGTTCAGTTGGTAAATAATCTACACCACATGTTCCATCTCCGTTATCATTGTAATTGATTTTAGCTTCAGCAGGTCCTTCAATTGTAACACTTAGTGGAGCAGGTGGAGCATCTTGACTGTCAATGGTAAATTTCGCTTGTTTCCCGGCTGTTGCACGATAAAGTCCATCACCATATGCACGAACTAAACCGGCTGCTTCAGGTCCAGACATTGGTGCTGAACTAGCTTGTTGACGTGCAAAATCTTTTGGATAAATAGGTTCTTGTAATGTAGCCGGTGGAATAGCATTTGTACGAAATGGACTACCTTTAACTGGTACACCTCCAACTTCTACAGCAACAGTATGTGGTCCAACAACAGTCGGTGTAAACGAAGGTGTATAACCATCAACACTTTCAGCTAAAGTACATGGTACACGCATACCATTCGGAGATTTCACTGTTACAGTTGGTTTTGGTTTACTATTATTTGGTGGACCTGCACCAGCAGTGATGACATCAAACTCAGTCGGCACACCAGTAGTGATATCTAATTTATGAGAAAAATATATATTACTGTTTAGAAATCTCGTGAACTATCAGTAGTCATTAAACCGGATAACCTGACTATGTAAATGTATATTTCAGTCAGTAATCAGATTACATGTAACGATAATGTTGATTTACTAATGTTATAACCATAAAATAAGATCTATGTGATATTATTTGAGGAAACTCTCAGAGATTGTTGAATTTCTCAGCCAACATCATTGACTGATTTTGGTTAAGTTTCTTACAAACCAGCCATTCAACGAACAGGATTTTAGGCTTACTATGAAGCCACTCAGCTGGACGCATGAATGACCACACTGGGGATAGATCGCAAGACTTTGGAGTATATGCTCAATTTCTAGACCACTGAGCCAGCATCTAATGGTGTACATGTGTCTAACTGAAATCGATTCGCAATAATGAGTAACCATCTTCTGTTGTATGCGATGAATAACTATGAAAATTATAGGGTGGACTAAAATCTTGACGGAGAGCATTTTGTGCTTATATTCTTTTAATCTCAGAAATTCACTTGACCTTAAAGATTTTTCTACCTTGAGATCATGAATGAATCATAGTTAGACTAACATTAGAAACTTGGAAGCACTAGACGACAGCTTTGTTCTCGTATGACATCGCGCATCCATGACTTCTGCTGTACGCAGGATTCAAACCCAGGACCTTCGGCCTCACTCGCGAAAGTTTAACCTCCGGACCACCGAGCTGGCATCCGATGGAGTTAAAGTCGAACTCTGATCAATCTAAGGATGGTAGTCTAACCATGATTCATTCATGATTTTGACGTAAAACAACAATCACCATAGCACTAATACGTAAAACCAAAGATTTTTCTCTCTGATACACTAACAAATCTAGTTTCTCTATATTTTACTGAATTGTTCTAAATTCAATGTGATACGGAAATTTATTTAAAAAATGCTGGGAATCACTGTGATCATTAAATAAATATCGTAGATTCTTTAATTAAATCAATAAATATAAAAATGATTGTTGTTTCACAGTGAAAACACAACCAACTTGATAATTCTACTAGTAAATGAAAGTAATTAAAAACAGAAGGATGAAGTACTAACTGAGAGGAGTAATAGAAACCAGAAATTACTGGCCATCTATTTTCTTTTCAGGTTACAACTTCTCAAAATTGAATACTTACGATCTTGTTAATAATTGAATCTTGGATCATTCCAACTATAAGGTGAGTTCGTTTAGTCATGGAGATGATGTACTTCTAAGTCGGGCCTACAGGGCTTGTCTCCTCAGTCTTTGGACAATCTTTTTCGATCCACTCTTTTCCGCTCATTATTCACATGCCTTTTGAACGTGCCAATTGTTTACTTATATTTTAGTTGTTTCTGTTTAAGTGCTTATATGTGTGCTTACTTGTCACATATCTGGCCAACTACTGCCTGACTGTGAGTTCTTAGTCATGCGCGTCCGCCTTCGCTGATTCGCTTCGCTTTACCTTTATGCTTCTCATTCTCATGTCTGTCTACTTAAAATGAATGCGTGAAATAAATTCATCCACAAAACCGTATTTGACTTCTGATGACGCCGTCACACATACACAGGGATTCGCTTAAGTGTGATCTACGGAAACTGAGGGAGAGATTAGCATACTCGAACGTTTATAAACAAACTGTCAGCCAGTTACAACGTAGAACTTCGTACATGAATACATAAGTTCAAGTTACCGTACCGAATCAGCACAGAGACGCAACTGTCAGTTCAAATCTAATTGTAGTGTGACAGTAGGAGTATTAGCAATAATGGAGGAGATTGGGGTACGAACATAAACAAACGAAATCAGATCACAGGTCACTAAAGTAGTGAGCTCTACTTCAAATTCAACACAGCAACAAAGACTTAAATAAAAACTAAAGAAAAGTCTGAAAAGGCTGATGTCATTTACACCATAGATGGTATTTATCAAGATGCTTATAACTCAGTCAGTCAGTCAGTCAGTCAGATGCAACGTAGAACTTCGTACGTAAGTACATCAGTTCATGTTGCCATACCACATCAGTACAGAGATATAACTGTCAATTCAAATCCAATAGTAGAAGAGGTAGTAAAGGTATTAGAAGTAATCGGAGAGGTTAGAATTATTATTCACGAAGTATGATTCAATGAGATAAGTTTAGAGAGTCGAAACTAGAGGTGTTGAAGAACCCAGAAGATTAGGGTTTGAGTGAAAACAAAGAATAAGTGCACCGGCGCCATTGCAAGCGGTTTTCAGCCATGTCATTCAAGGTCTCTAACCATCGATTATTATCATCTCGCGGACCCCAACCAGGTAGTCGACAACTACCAACATGGCTCAGTCCACTCGTCAATGACTTCATGCATTTCTGCAATGTTTTGGTTTGGCCGCTCCTAGCTTTCTTCCAACCTACCCCTACACTACAAAACAAAGCTCGTCGAGGCAGTCGGCGGTTAGGCATACGCAACACGTGTCCCAACCACCTCAACTGATGAAGTCTCACTACTTCATCTGTTGATCTGCCATTCTTACCTAGCACCCGTTTCCTAATAACAGCGTTGCTCACTCGGGTGTCCCACAATATACGAGCAATGCTTCGGATACACCTATGATCGAAAACCAGTAACCTACGAATATCTTCTACTCTCACTGGCTATGTTTCACAGCCATAAAGTAAGACGGAGCGAACTGCTGCACAGTACACTCGTCCTTTAGTCAGCAAACGGATATCTCGCCTACGCCATAAGTGACGCAGGTTGGCAAAAGCCAATCGAACCTTCTGTATCCGAGCTGAGATTTCATCAGTCACCGGGCCATCGGCACTGATGACACTCCCCAGACAAGTGAAGCGGTCAACACGCTCAACTGCTTCACGCCTTATCACTATTTCAAGTGCCGATGCAACCAGATGCTTACAAATAGAAACCGGTACGTACGAATTAACACAAAACTATTTTAAATATCCAAATAAAATGAAAATAAACTTTAGTTTTTTAAAAAAAAATGAAGATTACTTGGTTCCAGATTTTCAACATGAATTTTCGACATATCTATATTTGGTTTCACAGGTACTTTAAATGGACTACGTGGTACTTCTTGATTATTGAAAAATACTTGTACAGTATAATACGGGCCAGGTGTATTAGCTGTATAAGCAACTTTAAATGTTCCATCACGCATATCTTGTGTATCCATTGCTACATCACGTCCAGCTTCATCTGTTACACTAATGCCAACATTGCCTTCAGATAGAAAAAACAAACACAAAGTAAGAGTAGAAAGTCATTAGAAGTACATTAAAAGACGATAGTATTTCATGGTTTGATGAGACAATATAGAAGTTAAAGTAACTGAACGTTAACCAATGAGCTTTTGGGTTGAAATGTGATCACATCTACGCTTTGTTTTAGGCAGTTTAATTATTATCACATATCTTTTTTAAATAAAAGTGTGACTGAGAAACACACAAACGTGTATAGTAAACGATTATAATTAATATGCACGATGGAAAGAATGTCTCTGATCTTTATGTAGTGAACGAGAACACAAGTGGGGCAACCGAATCGTATTTAACGAAAATTACACAGTTACTCAGTAAAATTGGAAAACCATATCGTGAATCGCTAATTTGCAAAATATCAGTTCATCATATCGAACTGGACTGTTCCTGTTGCAAAACATCAATCCATTGTCACTATTCATGCGTTTCATACAAATTCCATTGTGTTCTAACTCTTCCTTTCTTGATCTTCCCCCATCTTCTGCTGCCAGTCATTACGTTGACACTCACGTCATATACTACTTATAAGTAGCTCGCACCACATTTATAGTAGTAAATCAAGTTATTTTCTTCAATAATAAAGAATTATCTAACAGAAACATCAATTTTAAATGGCGTTATTACGATATTTTGAAAGAACTTTATTTTCTCCTGTTGACTTCCTTAAAGTGGACTTGTTATTTTGGTGAAAATTATGCACTGTTTTACGGCGCTTATCCCTTTTTATAAATCAAAGATTATCTATGATGGACAGATTTCTGATGTTTATACATACAAGGTAGGAAGTAACTTCATATCTGAAGTCTGTGCTGATGATGTTGTTCAGCAGAAGAACAATGAAAGCTCTCCGACCAAAACAACATCCAACTCAGAGAACGAAACACCAACCTACAATCATCCACCTGAACTATAAATTTTCTCCATCATCTCAGTAACTTCATAGATTGCATACAATGAAATAGATTACACACTAATTGAAGGTCAAAAACTGAGTCATATGTCAGTCCAGATATTGTAGGTAAACGGATAATTTATCGAGCTAAGGTTACCGCCTACACATTTTGGTTAATCTGTCAACCAGTAAAAATGCATGAACCGGTAAACACTATGAAATCGGATTTCAGTTAAAGAAAACTTCTCACACTGTTTAGTCACTTTGCTAATCCAATATGACTTAATCAGCCTTCATGATTATATAAATACATACTTTGTAGTTATGCCTAAGTGATAAGGAAAGATTGCACTTTTCACTAACATAAAACTAGTCTATACAAGCTTTTCTTTTCGTTATAGTAGACTGACTTTAAAGTACATAAGTATCTACTAATAGTCATTCATATAAGAGTTGGTGTTTGACAGTCATATTTAAATCTACCTAACAGAAAAATAACGCATCATCAGGTTTATGCATTCATTGTTCATTTGTTCTCGCGAAATTCATTCTTATGAAACATTTCATATTTATACATGTATCAATAGGGTTTTCAATTAGAGTTATGGGGGATAGTGTTTTTACACATTAGAAATCATCAATCAATCACTGTTAAACCACCATTAGAAATCTGGAAGCACTGGCAGACGGCCGTTTCGTCCTGGTATGGGACTCGTCAGTGGCAGTGCGCACCCACGACTCCTCCACCTCGCAGGATTCGTACCCGGGACCTTCAGTATTGTGCGCGAACACCTAACCATTGGACCACTGGGCCGGCATCCAACGGTGTTAATATGCTTCCAGGTTTCTAATGGTGGTTTAACAATGATTGATTGATGATTTCAAACGTATAAATCTGATTTCTTTGAATTTTCTCTGAAAGACAATTCCCTTAACAAGTGATTCTTCATATTATTTCCTCCATTACTTTTGAACAAATCTGATGGTGACATATTGTCATTGATACTTTTTCCAACTAGTATTTAGATGTTTAAATAAATTAGTATAAGGAGATCAGTCCAAGTTAATTTGTTCATTGGACGTAAATGAGAATATAGGATAAAATATCAACGTAATTTTGATAAACACTTCTGGTTAAGTTATTTCATGTCTTCGTAATTTATGTTGAATAGAGTTTTTTCTGGTAAGTTAATTTTCTACGGGATGGGTTCGTTGACCACCCCCATGCCCAACCCTTCTCCTTTATCCTGGGCTTTGGATATACATTTGATTGGAACAATATCGAAACGCTGGATATAGAGGGAGTGCAAAGAACACTGGAGAATCTGTGGAAGCTTGGAACTCAAGTCAGTCAGCATTCAACAAACACAAAGACACTGAATAACTAATTTATCAACCAACCAGAAAATTCATAGACAAACCTACGATGAAGTAAATGATCAAAGGGTGAGATAATCAAAAGAAAGGTGTAGACAACGACAAGTTTAAGGTGACAATAACAACCAATCAAGATTGAGGTTAGCAGAACAAGCTAAGACTTAGACATGGAGAAATTCGGACACTTCATTTGTATCTGAAGTTTGTGCTGATAATGTTTTGTTCAGAAGAAGAACAATGAAAGCCGCACCACTAAAACATCCAGCTCAAAGAAACGAAACTCCATCACAACATAATCTATCATCTGATGAAATATTTATTCATTAGCTTTGTTTAAAAATGAACGTTTAAAAAGAAAGAAAGTCTAGTCAAAAAGTCAAAAGTTATATAGTAGGGGAAATCTTACCATGTCCAGCTTGTTTACAGTCAACTGTGAAATAAGTTGGTTGACCTCTTGTAACATTTTCTACACCTGGACCAAAAACGCGTACTTTTCCTGGATTACTAGGTTCAGCTACTTCAACCTAATTAAAAAAATAATAATAAGCACTTTTATAATTAGTTAACAGATATGATGTGAAATTATTCCCAAAGAAAATTTAATGTTTTAATAAAATGAAATTCATTCAATATTTTCATAAACTCATGATACTGTAATCTGAAGTGAATTCGACAAGTATTATATATGTATATATAACATCGGTTAGCTTAAATTGGTTAGTGGTAAAGTCACTGAATAACTTATCAATTCACAAAAATAATTCATCAGTCAGTTACAACATAGGACGTCGAACGTACGTACATCACTTCAAGTTGCCAGAGCATATAGGCAACTTCCATATTAGCAGAGGTCGTTGAAGTATTAGCAGTAATCAAAACGATTAGGGATCAATTATACAATTCAAAAAGTACTTCACAGTGAAATAAATTCCAGAAGAGAAAAAACAGTCATGAGGAATTCTGAAGATCAGAGTTTGAGAGAACACAAAGAGTGGATGCACCTGCGCCATTTCAAACGATTTTGAGCCATGTCATTCAAAGTCTCTAACCATCGATTGCTATCATCTCGCATACCACAACCCGGTAGTCTACACCTACTAACACGGCTCAGTTCAGTTGTCAGTGACTGTAGGATTCGATTTGTCCTACAGATGTACTTCTAGAACTATAAACGCAATATTGACGAGCACAGGGTCCGTGGGAAAGCTATAGTCAAACACAAGACCAATTCGGTTTTAAACTTTATCTGTTTCTAAACATAAAGACAATTGGATTAGTACAATAAATAAGGAAATTACGGTTACCAATTGAAACCAGTAAACATACCAACCAATATAGCGTGTCTTATGGAAATGAATAATATTATGAGTCACATCAATAATAAGAAGATAATAATGTTCTTCAATTAGTAGGTCATTTACAACAAAGATAGTTTACGGGCACACCAGACCAGATCACGTGATGAACGCTTAAACTACAATTTGATTGGTTAGTTATAGCATAACTACAATTAGTTTTGGAAATAACTAACAGTGACCTCATGGATTAGCGCCATGTTTAGGTTTGACCGCCTCTAGCTTTCTTCCAAACTACTCCTACACCACGAAACATCGTTCGTCCAGGCAGTTGATAGTTAGGCATACGTAACATCTGTCCTAAATGATGAAGACTCAATACTTCATCCATGAATCTGCCATCCTTACCAAGTAACTGCTTCCTAACAACAGCATTGCTTACACGTACGTCCCAGGATGTACGAGCAATGCTTCGAATACATCTATGATCTAATACTTGTAACCTACGAATATCTTCTACTTTTACTGGGCAAGTCTCATATCCGTATTGTAGGACAGAGTAAACTGCTGCGCGGAAGACTCGTCCTTTGATTAGTAGTAGACGGATATCTCACAAACATAATTAAAAACTAAACTAATTTGGTTGAAAAGGATTCAAAATCAAAATTTATTTTTTTAATAATACCTCTAAATGTTGAAGTATTAGCTTTCAAAAGCAGAGAACAATTAGGTTGATATATATATATATATATATATAAAATAAAACTTACTCTGAAAGGACTTCTAGGTATATTGACAGCACCGTAAGAAACAAGTACTGTGTGTTTTTTAGGAACTTTCGGCGTATAACTACACGTGTAAGTACCATCACCATTATCACGAACTTTCAGCGCTACTGGTTCACCTTCATTATCTCTACATTCCACCGTGAGTGGTGCTGGACCACCAGCATCTCTAATATCCACAGTAAATTCAGTTGGTTGACCTGCAACATTTCCAGTCGGCATTATACCTGGTCCATGTGCTTTAACCTGTGAGAACAATGAAATGAAAACAGTTGATTGTATAATCCGATAATTAACTAAGTAATGGTCACTCAAAGTAGCATGTAGTCGTCATTAGGTGACTTACTCTTTCTGGATCACATTTACCCATATCTGGTTCAATTGGGACCATAAACGGTGATTTCGGTATATTTTCATCATTGCATAAAATATGAACTGCATACTCGCCAGGTGCTGTTGGCCAATAAGCTACTGTAGCTGATCCATCTCCATTATCAGTACAATCGATTCTTGCTTCACTTGGACCTTCAATGGAAAAGCCTGGGAAAGGAAGCCAACAAGAAAAAAATGTTGTAAATTCATTTCACTAGGATTATGTAATAAAACTTAGGGGTATACAACATACACAAAGGGAAAAGTAAGATACTCTGATCCAACACAAAATGTACCAATCAAATCACATCTGATGCAGATGTGAAGGCAGACAGTTCTACCGCATGGTGAGGAAACTTGGGAAACCCCGAAAGTCACCAAGATACTAGCGTTTTTGAACAGTGTTTGACGCAAAATAATGAGGATCCGTTGGTCAGACACCATTAGTAGCGACCTACTGTGGGAGAGAACAAACCACATTCCAGCTGAGGAAGAAGCACTGGAAATGGGTTGGATACATATTGGCAAAGTCACCCAACTGTGTCACAAGACAAGCCCTCACATGGAACCCTCAAGGTCATCGGAAAAGAGGCAGACCGAAAACCATATTATGCCGAGAAACTGAGAGGGACATGAGAAGAATGAGCGGCAATTGGGCAGAAGTGGAAAGGAAGGCCCAGGACAGAGTAGGTAAGAGACTGCTGGTCGAATAAATCTTCATTTTTCCTATTGTATTCTTGTTCAAAACTACATTGATTTTTAAACTAGATTTATTATTGTTGTCCAAAAACTATACTACTCAACATTGTAATTTACATTTCAATGTTACATATATAAAATTACTCAAAATTGTACAATTCCATATCAATTTTCAACATTTTCGCATCATTCAAAAATTGATGTTTCTTGTAACTACTACTACTACTACTACACATAACATATAATGTAATTTCCGGTAGAAGACAATTCTAGAGATGATGAATTGACAGTTTAACATGAATTAGTAAACAGTAATAAAACTTTTAGTGATGGACAAAATTTCTGTTCGTGTGTGTGTGCGTGTGTGTGTATGTGAATAAAATGCCAACTGGGGCAAATACTACAATTGATAAAAGTTTTGTGCATTTCCATTGACTTAGTTTGATTATCAATCAGGAAACATGTGTACTACTTGATCTACGTTGCATTTCTAGTAGAAATAATGATACATATACTCGACCAATGGGTAGTCTAGCAGTTGCAGTGAGATATGATTATTTATTAAAAAATTTTTCCAAGTATGTTCACTTGTGATAGACAGTGAAGATTTTTTTGAAAAAACGTTTCATTTTGAAGCTGTTTGTGTATTATATATGTAAATTAATGTACCAATACACAGGTTGACTAAAAAATTATCATTCAACTAATTTATCAGTTGATTTTTTTAAGTGAAGCATAAAATTAACAGTTGGGGTGTATTGAATATATTTTAAATGCATATTAGGTAGTAGAAGTAGTCTCAGTGTAGTTTCTGTTAACCTTAATTGAGTGTAAGTGATATCTCACTACGTAGGATTACACAAGATACTCCCGATTTGTTGACCAAACAGCATCAGCAACGACCTACTGTGGGAGAGAACAAACAAGATTCCAGCAGAGGATCAAAAAAAAATCAGGATAACTTGCTGAGGGTGAACAGGACACAGATTAAGGAAAGCACCTAACTGCATTACAAGGCAAGCCCTCACTTGAAATCCTCAATACGAAAGGAAATAAGGAAAGCCAAGGAACGTATTACGCCGAGAAATAGAGACAGACATGAAAAAAAATGAACAAGAACCGGACAGAACTAGAAAGGAAGACTCGAGCTTAAGTAGATTGGAGAATGCTGGTGGGCGACCTATTCTCCATTAAGGGTAACAGGCGTAAGTAGGCATGTAATTGGCGACATATAACTGCTCACTACTACAATTGGATGGTTCCTAGAAGGACTATGACAAGGAATAATCTATAGTAAATAAAATATACACATAGAGAGAATGTTCACATTTTGGAAATAAGTTGATATGATTAATGGTTGCATTTTACAAAATGATACCGATCGACAAGTGCACTCGTAAACTATTACATTCATTTAAATAGCAAAGTCAGTCTAATGTCCACAAGTTGTTACTTATTTGTGATATCTACTTAGGAACAAGCCAGTTACTTCAATATTTTTGCATGAATTTTAGAAGACGAGCTGTCCTTCATCTAGTAAACACCATAAAATATATACCCTAACTGATCAATGAGTAGCGACCAGTGTCATGTTTTTAAAGACTATGCTGCTAATCGGAGTGCTTGTATATGACTGGATGGAAATGAACGAACTGCAGGGAATTCAAAGTCTTCTGAAATCAATGTTGTTACTGCTTTATTTGTGAAAGAATTTTTTAATCGGATTCTATCACTGAAATTCAAATGCGATTATTAGTCTACGTCAATAGATATTAGATGGATTGTTTAAATGTTAGCTGGTTGGACAACATACGGAGGAATCCTTTTTCCCTAATATCGTGCTAGTTGGTAGTAATCAACATCATATCTCTACCATCTAGACGAAACTGATGTTCATAAAAGGTTCATTGTCTTATGAAATAGGCAGTGTGATAGAGTGTGAAAACAGAATTACTTGAAGCGTCAATTTCTCGAAATAGATATTACACGCACAACGCTAGTCTGAAAAATATCCAGTTCTATTTCTTCTATCATGCATAAATTGCCAAAGAGTCCAGTATTGGCGAACTTTTACAGTTTACATTACAAACTGACTGTGCTGAAACGAAAAACAACCAGGAAGTACTGACAACTACTTCTTCGTAATATCTACCCCCCTAGCATTGAGGATAACTGATTTCATCAGGGTTCGAACTCATGACCTCTGATCTTTCATTCATAATTTATCTCTAGACCACTGAGTTAGTATTCTAAGGTGGATATATCTGACATCTTGAGTTTCAAAACTTGCCTAGAAAAAACCAGTCCGTAATGTAAGTCAATTCATTGTCATTCTCTACATGATCAGGAGCTACTTTAAGTAGATAACAATATCGATTTCTTGACTAAACCATTCAGAACTTATTATCACCAATAGTCCACATATCAATTGAGAAGACGTGACCGATGGAGTTCAACCCTGTCGGGTGTAGGCAGTAACTACCAAAGACAAATGGGTGAGGTCGCGCAAAGATCCCTAGATCAATCAGAGTTAGACATTAACACCATTGGATCTTGGCCCAGTGGTCCTAAGGTTAGGCGTTCGCGCACAATACCGAAGGTTCTGGGTTCGAATACTGCGCGGTGCAGGAGTCGTGGATGCGCACTGCTGATGAGTCCCATACCAGGACGAAACATCCGTCCAGTGCTTCCAGGTTTCTAATGGTGGTCTAACAATGATTGATTCATGGTTTCGAATGTGTGAAACACTAATCTCCATAACTCTTCCCGAAAATATCGATTGCAATAATTTAGCTATCACTTTATTGATTATTTGTTTAGGTTTCTCAATCATGAGTTGCAGAGTAGTAAAGGGACCACGGACATTCATTTCACACGTACATTATTGTCATTATTATTTACAAGAGAAATAAGGAATCGATAAGAAATAAATTTATAACTTACCTAGAGCACCCGTTTCACCGTTTGTTTCCACGACAAAAACAGCTGGTTTATTGACAACACCACCGACAAGACCTGGACCAAATGCTCTTATACGTGATTCTTTGTAAGGAGCAACTTCCACCTAGTATTTTCATTGTGAATTAAATAATATTACTGTCAATGAGAAGTCTTATGCAACATATCTTCATCAAATAAATGAACCAGTTGATTTTCATTAACTAAGAGTATAGTACACATATATGTTAACCCGAGTTACCATAGCACATTCAATCATTGTTAGACCATTATTAGAAGCCTGGAAGCACTGGAAGGCCGTTTTGTCCTAATATGGGACTCATCAGCTGCATTCAGCCATGCCCCCACTCACGGAAATCGAGTTCAGGACCTTTAGTCGTGACCAGGGGAGTTTAACCCTGTCGATTGTGATGCATTTACTCACCGGAGACATTGGGTGAGTTCGAGCAATACCTTGAATTGAATGAAGTTAGACATTAATGCTGGATGCCGGTTCAGTGGTCTACATGTTAGGCGTCGGCGTGCAAGCTCGAGAGTCCTAGGTTCGATTCTCGGGAGAGAGGTTTGTGGATGTGAGCCGCTGAACAGTCCCATACTAAGCTGCAACGGCCGTCCATCGCTTCCAGGTTTCTAATTGTGGTGTAACAATGGTAGATTCATGATTTCGACGAAAAACACCAATCTCCACAACTCTCCAATGTAAAATCAACTTTTTGTTAACAACTATGCATAATATACTGAACACAATGTGTACATATTGATTGAAATGATAATATTCAATGTAAAGCATGTTTCCAAAAAATTACTTACTGTGAATGGACTAAGCATAATATGATCTCCACCATATCGTACATTTACTTGATGTGTACCTGGTCTTTGTGGTGTATAACTACAATCGAATAGATAGGCACCAGTTTTTCGGCTGGTACATGGAATTCCTCTACCATCTACAACATATCAATGAAACAAATTAAGCACATTAATTAAAATTATTTATTCATTCAATAATAATTTTTTTTGTTATTGAAATTATTAGTTATCGTTAATTGGTACTTCATTAAATTATACTTTTTAAGTAACAATATTTGAAACATTCTTCAAATTAATAAGACGTTAAAATGATTGATTCGGAAGTATTTCTGTTGTCAGGTATTACTCAGTGGTCTAACGGTTAGGACGGTTCGCGCACAATACCGAAGGTTCTGGGTTCGAATCCAGCGTGGTGCAGGAGTCGTGGATGCGCACTGCTGATGAGTCTCATATCAGGACGGAACGGCCGTCCAGTGCTTCCAGGTTTCTAATGGTGGTCTAACATTGATCGAGTCATGGTTACAAATAAAACTCAACAATCTTCACAACAACCCCGCAATACACATTAGGTCAGTCAATTACATACGTACATAAGTACATATGTTCAGGTTGCCGTACCACATTAGCACAGAGATGGAACTGTCAGTTCAGATCCAATAGTGGTAGAGATAGTAGAAGTATTAGCGGTAATGGAGAAGAGTAGGGTTGGAAGAAATTATTCAAGAAGTAGAATTCAGTTAAATCAATTGAGAAAAGGAAAGATAGAAATGATGAGGAATTCCGAAGAGTAGAATTGCAGAGAACACAAAGAGTGAATGCACCTGTGTCATTGCAAACGATTTTCAGCCATGTCGTCCCAGGTCTCTAACCATTGGTTAGTATTGTCTCGTCTGATATTAAGTTTAAACATGAATTAATCAGGAAATCAATAATTTTATAAACTGAATAACAGAACAGTTATTTTAGGTTAATTTTTTTTTTAGAGTTCTATGTTCTGTTAGTTTAATTGTAAGCCTTTCATTATCGTTCTGATGCATTAAGTCCAGAAAATCCAATATTACCAGAAGAAATAATATCATGGTTAGGAATAGTAAATGTATGTATCATTGAACTCTTCAAAGTGACTCTTTTTAAAGGTATCTTTTTAAATAATATAGGTCAGTCATCAATGTAACATTATTTTTATTCCGTATAGTTGATATGTGACAGTTTCAATTTGAATTTAAATGACTTTGTAACAACGCCTACCGATTCAAACTTACACAGACATTTAACAGTTCAAGTTACTACACCACACAGAGCGTGATGAAACTATTAGAATGAATGCTAGCTAGGGTAGCAATAATAGTGAAATTATCAGTGATAGTAGAAAAAATTAGCTACAGACAACATGAATCATGAAGAAAGAGTAAATGTGTAGGAAATAAAGTGTAGGAAACTTCTAAGTCGCAAAATCTAGGAACATAAAGTGAGCGAGTCTATGAATTCACAATCAAATGTGAGAAATATTGACTAATATAACTCAAAATCATGGTGTTTTGCAGTTAGCACGTTCAGAGTTAAATAGCTAGATAGATATTCATGAATAAATTCATAGCAGTTATACATCAAGATACATACAAACATGAACCTTTCATAGTTGGAAGTTGTTATTTCAGGATTGGATTGTATTGGAACTTGAATTAGTCATAGAGAGTGATCTAACTGAGTGTGTCAGCCGCTTCAGTTATCTCAGGGGTCTCATCAGTGCTAATAGCCTGGTGTGTAATGAAATCTCAGAACGGACACAAAAGGCTCGACTTGTTTTTGCCTAATTGTGTCACTTATGGCGTAGGCGAGATATCCGTGCGCTAAACAAAGGAAGAGTCTACTGCGGAGCAGTTCGCTCCATCCTACTATACAGGTACGAAACATGACCACTAAGAGTAGAGGATATTCGTAAGTTACTAGTATTCGACACAGGTGTCTACGATGCACTGCTCGTATAACCTGAGACGATCGAGTAAGCAATGTTTTTGTTAGGAAATGAGTACTAGGTAAGGATGGCAGATTCATTGATTAAGTGATGAATCTTCATCAGTTGAAGTGGTTGGGATAAGTATTATACGTGCTCAACCACCATCTGTCTCGACGAACAACGTTTCGTGGTGTAGGGGTAGGACGGAAGGAAGTTAGGGGGCATCCTAACCTAAACATGGCAATAACCCATAACATCATTGACAAGTGGACTGATCCATGTTAGTAGGTATAGACGATAGTAACCGATGGTTAGAGACCTTAAACGACATGTCTCAAAATCGTTTGGAACGATGCACATGCATCCACTCTTTGTGTTCTCTCAAATTGTAATCTTTTTAATTCCTTATGATAGTTTGAACTGATTTACGTACGTACAAAGTTCTACGTTGTAGCTGACTTTTTTCATAGACTATGTTTAATATAGACATATAAAAAACTAAATCATTCACAAATTAATCAGTAAATCAACAATATTCTGTTAAAATCCCTAAGTAAAATTCCTTATTCCCATTTGTTTTTTAAAAAAATAACCAAATGAAAGTTAAAATATATAATTTCTACAGATCATATCATACAAGACTAATAACTACAATATCCGGCTCTATAGTGTATCTCAATGATGTCATCATCAAGTTATCTTCATATACTTAGCAGAGTGAAGAAAGTCTTTATCCATAGATCAGCCTTTTTATCATCGATAACTTTCCCGCAGCAAAAAAAAAATGATTGTTAGCCATAAAAGTAGAAATATGAGATTGGTATATGTAACAGTAGAATAAATTGTTATCTAGTCTTTTCCCCAATAATAATAACAAGAATGTTTGTGTACTAGATAATTCCATTCTATGGAGTATCCTGTTCATTATTATTATTATAGATTTATATTGATAACAACAACAACAAAAAATACTTTCTAATAACGCATTTACTCTATTCGCTTAGCTTTTTTCTCTTGTGTAATAAGTAAGTAAGTAAGTAGTACACTATCAGATAGATAATGTTGAGTTTAATAAGTAAGAAAAAACAAACAGACAAAAAAGTAAGTAAGTGATGCAAAATGCAACACCGTCTCGTCGTCGTTATCTCATCAAAGAAGGCGTCAGCGATGGACGATAAGATGGAAATAAGTATACCGATTGAAAAAGAAAGAATATAAATTACACCAAGTTTACTGTTGCATAAATGAATCTTGTCTAATCAAAAGAAAACAGTTAGGCTGAATATTAAAAAAATACTTGAAATGTATAGAGATGGTGTATTGAGGTGGAGTGATTCATAGGTTTATTTGGTAAGGGTTATTATTTGATAGTAATTATTACTGAAAGTATGTATCAGCTTACAAGCGGTTACTTGGTGTTTTGTTGAAGATAGATTTTTAGTTTTATATGTTAAACCATCTTTTGACACCAAGTAGTATTTTGGATTATGGAGTTGTGGAGATTGTTGAGTTCCTTTTTTTTAAAATCATGAAGCGATCAATGTTAGACTAGCATTAGATACCGGCTCAGTGGTCCAGTGGTTCGCGTGCAAGACAGACGGTCTTGGGTTCCAATCTGGTGAGTTGCAGGATGCGCACCGCTGATGAGTCGCATACCAGGACGAAACAGCCGTTCAACGCTTCCAAGTTTCTAATAGTGGTCTAACAATGATCGATTCATGATTCTTAAAAAACCCTATTAGTATTGTTTGAGGAATGCTTAAAGATCACAAAGAAATGGGATAGCTGTTTCATCTTCATTTTTAATTACTAAGAAATATATAACTTCACAATGCTGTAGCATTAGGTTTCTTATGAGGCAGCGTAATACTAATCTAACAGTATGTATTTTTAACCAGAGTTATTATCTAATTTAATGGAATTCTTCTTAAATCTCACTGATGAGATTGTATCATAGGCCCGAATTGGCAAAATGAGGTTATGGTGTTTGGATATATCACATTAGGTTTGAATTACTACGTAAATACTGATTTCCTATTAGCATTATGAACCAAATCAAAAACACTAGACCTTTGAGGGAGATACAAAGATCTTTGGAAATAATATGTAGTTTATCGATGTAACCATCATAAACGATGAATACTACTCCACATACATTTGAGTTTGTTCATATTTAATTTGGTTAAGTCCTATTGATTAACTTACTCAACAAACAGTCATTTGTACAGCAACAACTTATAATTTATATCATAGGTTTTTATTATTATGGGGTTTGTATGAACATTTAGGCTTGAACATTGCATACCGGCTACGTGCAGTCAGTCAGTCAGTCAGATGCAACGTAGAACTTCGTACGTAAGTACATCAGTTCATGTTGCCATACCACATCAGCACACAGATATAATTGTCAATTCAAATCTAATAGTAGAAAAGGTAGTGAAAGTATTACAAGTAATCGGAGAGGTTAGGATTAGAAGATATTATTCAAGAAGTATGATACAGTGAGAAAAGTTTAGAGAGTCGAAACTAGAGGTTTTGAAGAACCCAGAAGATTAGGATTTGAGAGAACACAAAGAATAAATGCACCAGCGCCATCGCGAACGATTTTGAGCCATGTCATTCAAGGTCTCTAACCATCGATTATTATCATCTCTTGACCCCAACCAGGTAGTCAACAATCACCGACATGGCTAAGTCCACTCGTCAATGACTTCATGGATTTGTGCCATGTTTTAGTTTGGCCACCCCTAACTTTCTTCCAACCTATTCCTACACTACAAAACAAAGCTCGTCGAGACAGTCAGTGGTTAGGCATACTCAACAAATGTCCACCGGCTACGTGCATATTCATTCTATTCGCTTTAATGTCAACCCTCTTAAATATTTCGATGACTCACTGATTTTCCTATGTGCATCTATGTACATTTAGATGATATTCATTCATTCGCTTGTCTGCCAATCGGCACTCGCATATTATTAATATTTTGGGTGCCTGTGGTTTGGTGGTCTATTTGTGGTGCGCCAAATAAATGCATTCAAGACGTTGTATTCCTCTGCTGACTTATAAAATCGTGAGGCGTTATTTTAGTAACGGCTGTCTGGATGAGCAGCATACGAAGTCTAAGAACAAATTGAACACCGACCTCCACGAAACTACTAAGGCATCGGTCATCACAAGTTCACTGAGATAACTGAACAGAAAAGAATCTGGATGCACACTATCAATATAAGCGGATGATTATTGATCGAAAGCAGTATAAACAATTAATAATGAGTGAACTCATGAAGTGTGTGTGTGTGTGTGATATTTTCTTACCTGGAGCAATAACAGACACTTCCAATGGACCTTCACCGGCATCTTCTGTATGTACTTTAAAGTCAGCCAAATCTTTGACTCGTATACCTTGTGGTTGAATTCCACGACCTGTAGCATAAGCTTGTTTTGGATCACAGGCTAAAATATTAGAATAAAACATATTTAAATAAATAAATGAATTATTATTATTATTGAAATTCAAAATAAACAATCAATTCTCCCAACGGATACTTATAAAACAGTTCAAAATCCGTTGTTACGCCAAATTGAACATTGATCATCATTTGGGATATTGAACATAGAATCGATTTGTTAGTATCAACATATGAAGTAACAATTTTGAAAAAAATGATAGATAAATATATATAGATTAATAGATTAATAAGATGTCAATGTACAATTCTGACCTGGTCGTTGTGGTTGAGACATTTTTCTAGGTGCTTGTGTTGCTTGTAACGGCGCTGTAATATTAAAGTACGGTAATGTATGTATAATATATACACAAGTGCTCTTATGGTAAATTTCATCATTCATAATCATGCTTTCGAGATACTGTTTGATATGAAGGCGATGTGTCAGGTTGATAAAATAAAAATACAAGCATTTCAATCATGCTTTTATTATTGGCGTCGTCATTGTTTGATTGACATCAAATGTGTGTATAGAAATAAATCATGCAGAGAAGTTTAAAATTTTAAAAAAAGTTACGGTCATTTTAGATTACAGTAGCTAGGATGAATTAATGGTTTAGTCTCTAAAAATTCTACAGTCTTTACCAACTCCTGATACTAAGACTAGTCATGTGCATACAAGTGGGTCGCTTGGAGATGTAACTCTTGGGGTTCTAGCAAGAAGCCATGGCCAGTAGGGTCAGATTATATCGAGTGTGAGACAGTTAGCCACCGCAGAAAATACGTGGGGTTCGCCCAATATCATAGAACATTAACGCTGTAAGATGTATAGGCTAAGCGTTTCCATGATGAAACGGAGATCTTCAGCTCGATTTCGGGTTGCAGTGTTGTCACTGGGCATTACGGAGGCTTCCCAGCATATGGTGAAATGGTTTACCGGTGTTTCTAGGTTCTCACTGATATTCTAGCTAAAATCAGTTCAGTTCTGGAACTTTGAGAATTCTACAATCTCCACAAATCGTCTATGCAAATTAAAACATTCAACTTTTCCTATAGAGCTTTATTTAAATTATTTTTAAATTCAGGTAGTGTAGAACATTCAACATGACCTCAATATTCTACAAAGTCAATGGGATTCATTTCCCCAGAATGTCGTGGAAGTAAACGAAAGAAAGTTTCATCGATATTACGGCTTTTATCAGGAGCTGGTCAAACATTTATTGTCACTGAAAGATATGTGTAATTTATAATGTTTTGGTAGCATTGTTTTATTGTAGACGTTGTTTAACTGCGGAGCTTTTACAGTCATTTTGCTAGAAACACCTAATCGTGAGGAAAAAAGAGCTACATTGGATAAGTGCTGAACAAAAGTTACATTTGTTCATTATGATGAAACTTTACCATGGTTGATTTTCCCTATGGTCTCTATTAGTAAGTTTTGCATTCATGTGTTAAACGCTTGAATTCACTGTCTTCTGGTCATTTGATAACTTCCTACAGTGATTTCTTTAATTAGAGCTTTACAGAACTCTAATCATGACATGACACTGAATAGCCAACTGTATGCATAATTTTACTGATGTATATTTTGTTTGTCTTTCTAATTGTTTTCTATGCAAGTGTTAAAACCTTGATTTATGCATAACCGATTTGTGGTAGACAGACACACAAATCCAATGCAGAACTTCGTTTTTAAGTACATCAGTTCAGGTTGCCATACAATATCAGCACAGAGACACAACTGTCAGTTCAAATCCGAGAGTGATAACGATAGTAGAAGTATTAGCAGTAATGGAGAAGATTAAGGAGCGAAGATATGATTCGAGAAGTATAATTCAGTAAGATAAATTTAGAAGGAGAAAGATAGAGATTTTGAGGAATTCAGAAGGTTAGAATTAGAGAGAACACAAAGAGTGGATGCACCTGCGCCATTGCAAACGATTCTGAGCCATATCGTTCAAGATCTCTAACCATTGGTGACTTTCGTCTCGCGGACCTCAACCAGGTAGTTTACATCTACCAACATGACCAATTGGTGATAAATGATTATTCCTAGCGAAAATGACCGTAATTAAAGGTCAAATTGTGAAATAATATGATATGCGTAAGAATCAAATTGAATGATAGAAGCTCATTTGGAAAAATAATTCCAAACATATGCAAATATAACTTGATACAAATGAATCTGTTCAATGTTTACTGGAAAAAACATAACTGACGCCTTCTTAATCACATTCAAAATAGGCAGTAAGCAACATTGACTTTATATACCTCAGCCAACACATTCATATGCAAAATGAATCATTTAAGAATCAAACCAAAATAAAGAGAAAAGCGTAGATTATTTTGCGATTAGTTTTGAAGAAATAACGATTTTTTTAACAGCCAAATATCAAGTCATGAAGCGTATTTTTATGAGGAGCATGCATCTTTAATATGTTTTTACCATATTTCTGATCATGAATAACAATGATGATTATTTTTTTGAAAAATTCATCAGATAGTACATTTAAAAAAAAATTTTTATTGCTGTCATGCTGATTTGTGTTGTAACTTAATAACAAAAATGAACATGAAAGTGAAGCTCAGTCACACCATTCATTCACTCATTCACTCATTCAGACATTGCGAATTGATACACACCTTCTTGATTAACTATCGGTGCAGGAGATTGTACTACCGGTGGTGGTCCTACACGAAAGAATAAAGTTGTAAATTGACACATACAATAAAATAAGTGTTTTACAATCGAGAGAGGGATTAAGGTGTGTATACGCGACTGCATAATTCTCACCTAACACTATTATTGTTTTACTAATTATATATATATATATATATTCATCTAGTTCCCCATATATCACTATGTTGTAACAACAACCGAAAAACACTCTTCAGTTACTATACGTAGGAGTCTAAGACTTTAGTGAGTACAGTAAATGAAGACTCAAACTTATTTATACAATGATAAATACGTCCTTAGGGAGAGCCACAAAGTAGTGCACTAAAATAATCCATCAACCAATGACAATCAGGGATTTTCCGAGTGCCATCAATAAGCTGAAGGTCAACTAAGCGTCTTTAGCGCGAAAACATAGAAATTCAAAAATTTCGAAAATAAATAACAAAATTAGGATCTTTTCTAAGTGAGTTTCTGAAGATCTAACGTCTTCAACATTAACATGACTATTGCTTTTATCTTTGACAAATGTTTACCTTGAACCACGAAATCACTATTAAACTTGGCAAAAATATTCATTGGATTCTCCGCATATCACTATGATGTAACGACAACCAAAAAACACTTCAACTAACTATACAAATAAACTTCATGTATTATATTACGTAGAGTAGTCTAAGACTTTTGTGGCTGGAATGAATGAAGACGTGAAAAACATGATAAACTGTTTTTTTTAAATACTGTACACTATGAATGTTTATCTTCTTTTCATAATTATTTGGTATAAGCCCACAAACACACAAAAAAAAAACATTTTATCAACATGAATCAGTTGATTTAAAATGTGAACACATAGAAAGCCATAATCATTGATAACAAAACACATGATTGAAACGGGGCATACGATTGATATCAAAACAGCCTTTTAAATATTGTATAGAAATTTTCAAGGACAAATTCTGTTGTTTATACAAGTCTTGGCTATTCGTAAATTTAAATTTAAACACCCTCCCTTTTTATGTGTACAAAAATACAAATTTTTATAACTTTGAATTAAGCCATTTTTTGTGGCCTACGAGTAATGTGACAATTTCCAATTCCTTCGATAACATGTGAATTTTCTCTCTGATTTATTTCCAATGATCACATTGTGTTTTATTTCAACGTGTATTTACTTGATCTTTATTTAATTTTCATACAAAAATTACATCGTCAAGTATGTGTTTGATCAGATTGTTCGACAATGTATTGTGCAAAAATACATCATCTATTTTCAAATCAACTGGTCTCTTCTGGTTGTTCTACACAAAATTTTATTAAAAGGGACTAATTGTTTTCAGAATAAGAAACCTATTCACCATTAACAGTTATCTGTCCAACTAAGAGAATCACATCCAAGATGTGACGTTTTCGTTTACCAAACATTGTATACATAACATGGCTATTGATTTTATCTTTCACAAATGTTGACCTTGAACCATACAATCGATTTTTCATCCTAAAGCTGTTTTTTGATCTCTTTGCGTACCTCCACTTTTTTCAGAATGATTTTCAAACTGATCTAATCATGGTTATGCAACTCATTTTTCACAATTGCTCATTTTTGCACACACATTGATTTTAGTAAAGTTCAACTACATAAGAAAATGTTTGACGCAATTTGAGAGTAATTCACAATTCTACTACATTCAATAAATCGTTTGTAGTTTGTTGTAAACGTTTACATTTTTCTATGGTCAGTATGAAATTAATACATCTGATCAGTCTTTAATTATGACGAATGCACGTAAACACGTTATTTGATATGCTTGAACTGTTTACTGTTTACTTTAGTCGGTAAACGAGAACTAGGATCGATAATCCAGCAACACGACTGTCTGAACCCCCATTGAGTAAGGGAACAAGACTTGATGTGAACTAGGACGTGTATTCTACAAGCATCCAGAAAGGACGAGGTTCGAGTCTAGGGTAGGATAATAACCCCGGACTAGGCATCCGGGTGATAAAACGTTACAGATAACGCGCGTATTTATACAGTTAGGTCGAATAAGAAACAACGTTTGAAGTGACACTGATAGTTAGGATGACCAATAGGAACTAACCAATAGAACTAGACTTAGGATATTGGATGAATATCCTAACAGTAATGAACCCAAAACAGACTGAACTTTGTTAAACGACTATAACTCAATTTCCTGTCAACGTTATTCAATCACAGTGTACATATGTTATTAGAAGTTGGCAAGAGGCAATCCATAGTATGAACGAGTGAAAAACTCTAACCGATATCTGATACAAGTACATGCAGTTGAAAAATCCTACATATGACACAATACACGTCCTCATATCAAGTTTCTTCCATTCTTATTTCATAGTAATCGTTTTTTTCAATTAATTATTGTTACTTTTCAATGGTATAATAAAAATGGACATATAGATTGATAAAATCACTGAAAAATACTCCGATTTTTATTGGAACCAATCTCTTCATTTTGTTTCGAACGGTTTGTTCCGTTAATAATATCATTCCAAAGTTTATCAGTTTTATTATGAATAAAATAACCACTGTGTAATGGTATACAGATAATCTGTTCTTTGTAAATTTCAGTATGGTACATTTTTCATTCGCAGTATGATAGATACTACTTGCAACATGGCTTAAAAGTAGTATACACTGGAGTATAACCCAGAAGTAACAGATACAATGTAGGATTTCGTACGTAAGTACATCAGTTCATGTTGTCATACCACATTAGCACAGAGATGCGATTGTCAATTCAAATCATATAGTAGCAGAGACAGTAGAATTACTGCCAATAGAGAAGATTAGGATTTGAAGATAATATTCAAGAAGTATAATTCAGTGAGATAAGTTTAGAAAGACCAAGGCAGAGGTGTTGACGAATCCAGAATATTAGGATTTCACAGAACACAAAAAATGGATGCACCTGAGCTATTGTAAACGATTTTGTTCCATGTCATTTAAGATCTTTGACCATCGGCGACTTTCGTCTCGCGGACTCCAACCAGGTAGCCTACATTTGCCAACATCACTCAGTCCACTTGTCAGTGACTTCATGGATGTGTGCAATTTTTTGGTTTGGCCGCCCCTATCTTTCTTCCAACCTACTCCCACACCACAAAACATAGCTCGACGAGGCAACCGGTGGTTAGGCCTTCGTAACACATGTCCTAACCACCTCAACTGATGAAGTTTCAATACTTCGTCTATTTTATTTGCCATCCCTACCTAGAACTCATTTCCTGATGACAGCATTGCTCATTCGGTTGCCCCACGATACATGAGCAATGCTTCTAAGATATCTGTGATCGATTACTAGTAACCTACGATTATTTTCTTCTCTTACTGGCCCTGTTTCGCAACTATATAGGAGAACGGAGCGAACTGCTGAACAGTACACTCGATCTTTAGTCAGCAAATCGGTATCTCGCCTACGCCATAAATGACGCAAGTTGGCAAAAGCCAATCGAGCTTTCTGTATAAGTGCTGAGATTTCGTCAGTCACCAGGCCACCAGTGTTGATGAAACTCCCAAGATAAGTTGCGCGGTCGACACGCTCGACTACTTCACTCTCTATGACTAGTTTAGGTGCCAATGCAACCCAATCTTGAAGCAACATTTTGCATTTTGACAGTGAGAACCGCATACTGAACATGCTTTCATTATCGCTTAGGGTAGTCAAAAGACTCTGCATTTTGTCAGCACCTAGAAGTGAATACTGCAAAGTAGACTGTCGTATCAGAATATATTGTGTGATCAAAGCGGTTTAAAGATCAAAAGACGATACAAGACAAGAAGGAAGTCAATAAACTGGTTGTTTTGTAAATAGAATTTTAAAGACTCAATGTGTGTCTCCTCTACTCTAAACAACATAATACCACTCACTATCCCATCTGTTTCCGACATATTCACGTATGATCTTAAATAAACTAGTTTAATATTTTTCTTTAATTATCCAATACTGGTTCACAGTTGATTTCAAAACTAATTTGCATGTTATATGTGTGTACCGTAGAGAAAAACATTTTTTAACAAGTGTAATCTATGGAGGAGGAGGAATAAACTGTACAATTCAACTATTATTAATTATGATATTGAAAAAAATAATAAAGAAATTGGAACAGAGCGAAAAACTATCACAAATAATAAAAATCATAGTAAAAATCTTAGATAAAATAAAAATTATTTTCTAATCCTACTGTAAACAGTCTACACATAATTTCATGTAGGCAACTTTCTTGCATCTGGCGAATACTTTCAAACAATTTAATTAACTATATTCACTGAGTGATTTTATGAAATTTAACAAGAAAGCTTAGAAGAAATAAGATGCTTGTTTTTAAACAGCTGCTTATAATGTGTTCAAACTTAGGTAGATATGCTTGCTTGTTATCAGTAGTTAAACAGTATTTCACTTGTACTAAATATTGAGGTATGAAAATGTGAATTTCCTTTCTATGTGTTAAATTCATTTTAAATTTTTATGTGTCTTGTACTGAATTTGATTTTAATACAAGAATAACTAATACTCGATATATGTAAGTTACAACTCCACCTCGAGCCCCACTGGGGCTAGTGACGGTCTCAAGCCCAGAATAAAGGAAGAGAGTTTGGCATATGGTTAGCTACCTCATCCTGTAGAAAAGAAACTCGCTAACCAGAAAAATATGTGAATTACATGATATACCTGGTGTGGTGCGCGCTACTTGTAAGTAGTAAATGAAGCGAGTGTTAACGTAATGTTTGATGGCAGCAGAAGATGGGGGAAGATCAAGAAAGGGAGAGTTAGAGCTCAATGGAATTTGTCTGAAACCCATGAATAGTGAAATGTCAGACAATGGATTGATGATGGATTGAAGATTTGCAAATTCACCGTTCACGATATGGTTTTCCTATTTTACTGAGTAAATGTAATTTTCTATAAATACAATCTGGTTGCCCTCGCCTATGTTCTCCTTCACTACACCGGTAGAACCACACAAAAGTTTCGCAAAGTCGGTTTGTTAGTATATCTTTCTTCCTTATCTAAAGAGTGATATATTAAGATGAGCAGATGGAATCACGAATCAACACCGAGAGTTCTTGATCTTAAAAAACTGAAATAAAACTCTCAGAAGGAGTTTTTACTTGTTAAACGATTAAAATGAAAGAGTTCTTTGAATGTGGACAAGATATTCAAGATTTCAAGTATAATCTAAGGCTAGGATGATTATCGGTCTCAGGTGTTGCATGGGATAGATAACATTGAAATACAATACATTTTGCAAAAAGTAAAGTGCTTTTTTGCACGAACCGATATTTAATATTCAGCATTTTGTTTATACACATTGTTGAATTTGGTTTATTGAAATGAATAACCCTAGATATCTCTCACAGTCATATAATTCTAAATTTTATTGACAGTAAATACATGGGATAGTTCATGGTGTGCTCACTCATTCACAAAGAGAAAAACCGTCGATTTCTTATAGATATGTCTTGAAAATTGTTGGTAGTTAGGGAAATAACACTGAAGTAACAATATGCATATTGGCAGTAATAATGCTAGATAAATGGTCTTATCAAAATCAAGCTTCAACCCACTTTCGTTCCTCATAAAAGCTCTTGTTCTACAAAATAGCTGAAAGAGCTTTTGGCTAAGTTTAAGTCTCGTCGCTTATCTAATTCGAATTTCAGTATCATCGAGACAAACAATAAATGAAACACTAAACTATTCTAAAAACTAGCAGAAAGATGAATATTTTATTGGAAACAAAACCATCTTACGCAGCGATGAGATTGATTTGTTTCGTTTCTTTTAATGTCTGTTTAATTAGTGTTACTGAACGTTTAGACTATGCATATTATATGATAATGAGAAAATGGGCCTGTCTCTTTAGGGTTAACATTTTTAGGGTAGATATTTGTTCATTTGAAAAAAAGATATGGAAAATTTGAAACGAGTGAAACAGTGATTATTTACAATTTGAAAATTCATCAGATGGACTGTGTAATACTGATGAGAATATTTGAAGAGCTTACAGAATCGTTAAAAGATTGAGTAAGTGAATGTCGAACTCCACGTGGAGCATTTCGAGGGTTACTGCCGGTCCCAAGCCCGTATAAAGGAGGAGGAAGCTTGAGCATGGTGTTAGCGACCCTATGTCGTAGAAATCTAACTCGCCTAAGCAAAACGCCAACCAGAAAAATAATTAACTGGTCGGTGGGCTATGCATCATTAGGTTGTAACAGGAGTAAGTAGGTACGTATGTGAATGTCAAGATTGAGTAAAACTTCTATTTCAGATTGTATGACGAAATGATTATCATTTATGCAAAGATTGTTTACAGTAACACGAACAACAAATGACAACAACTGGTGTAATTTCAAACACAACTATCCATATACCTCGGTAATCATAAATTATCAACTATTTCCTTCAAAAGGCATACACTTAGTTTGAATTTTCTTTGATTGGTTATCGCTTCAGAGAAATGTGATGAAGTAAAATCATTTTGAACGATCAACAATATGGCCACTATTTCAAACTTTTGTTGAATATGGCTGAAAGCCCAAACACCGTACTGTTCTCTTAGTTAATAATAAGGCGTTTTAATGTATACACTTTGATCAACTAATCTTATTTTAAAGTAAGCTATTGTATAAACTGTACAAATTTATACTATCGAACTAAAATTTATCAGAAATATGATGAGAATGAAGAAGTATTCTGAAGTATTTTAGTCATCAGCAATATGACTGAATTATTTAGAATTGACAGTCTTAGAAGCGATAATATTTTACACTATTGCAGTGTAGTATGAATCGATTTACACCAAAAATGTAAGGCATTTAGTGTTTAAAACAGGCTTCATAGTTTACGTTTGCTTACAGGATTTTCATGCGTAAGTAGTAATAATAAATTTAGAAGCTTCCTCATGAATACAATTAACAAATGTAAAATTGAATGATATATATATATATATATATACACGAATATTTGAAATAAAACTTACGTGGACCAACCATTACACCGAATGGTGAATTCAATATTTGTTGACCAGCATAAAATACATTGACTGAATGAAGACCTTCATCTTTTGGTGTATATTCTACAAGATAATTATCTTCACCTTGACGAGTTATCAATGGTTTGATGGTATCACGTCGACCATGCGGATCTAGAATGACACAATCGGCATTTCCAGGTCCAGCAGCTAAGAACAATTTAAGGACAAATTATTTTGTTAGGAACTTCAAATTGACAGTTAATGAATATACCTAGCAAACTTATGTTGAGTAGACAAGCAATCAAATTTCTAGTTTCATCTCTTAACTGGTTATTGTCAGCAGATCAAGTCATAAAATAATATTTAACATTTTGAGTAGGAATTTGAATGAGTAATGCTTTTTTCATTAAAGTTACCTGTCACAAGTCTAGATCAAACACTGTTGTAAATGATATGGTGATCTTTGATACCATTGATCGGATTTTGAATGACACATCGGGGAAAGGAGTAGTTATATGAATTCTTCATCTGTTCGTTACAGATGCTCAGTTGTGTGGTGTGATAAATATGTAGTTGTTGATTGATTGGTCTTATGAATACACAACTGGCTGTTAATCTGACTGCAAACCAGTCATACAAATTGTAGTGTATTCTGTGTACTCTAATGTCAAGTCTGCAGGGCTTGTCTCCCCAGTCTTTGGACAATTTGATTAGTCTATTCTTCTGGAGTTATTTGAGTTTGTGTATTCACGCTTACCACGTTTATAACAATGTCTAGCTTATTTTGTCTGACTACGAATATTTATTCATGCCTCATCTCATTGAGTTGGCTTGCTCTTCTTTCCCATTTCTCTTCCCTCTGATTGTATGCTTTTCATTTTCATGCCTGCTTGCTTTAATGATTGCTTGACATGAATTTATCCACAAAACCGTATTCTGTCACACAAACGGGGTTCGCCCAAGTATGATATACAGAAATCAAAGGGGAGATTCATTTCATCACATAGCTGTTCATCCAAAGAGTCAGATCGCTGGTCACTAAATTGGTGAGTTAAACAGAGCCACTAGTGTATTTTGAAGGTCAAATAATTCCTTATTAATCATCATGGTGGCCATTGAGTGAGTCATCCTGCTTACACTTTACCAACTACCAAGTCAGCAATTATTGCCGCAAATACAACAGTAGTCTTGAAACAAAACACAATACAAATGTACAGTACATTTTGGTCATTGAAATGCGAAGATTACTTTTAAAATATGCACATTATTTACAAGAACAACAACAAAACAATTTTGTATTAATAATAATTATTTGTACAATTATTTAATATTTTGAATATAATATATAAGATTATGAATTCAGACAACATAAGTGAAATTTTTCTTCAGCAAAAAAAAACAATTCATGTGTAAACACAACATGAAAACAATTCATATGTGCTTCATTTAGAATTGAGGATGAAGGAAAGTTAACTGAGACAAACATTGTAGTAGTAGTAGTATATGATATATTATTCCAGGGACAGCCGAGTAAGCAATGCTGCAATTAGGAAGTGAGTACTAGATAATGATGGCAGATCAATATATGAAGTATTGAAACTCCATCTGTTGAGGTGGTTGGGACATGTGTTACGTATGCCTAACCACCGACTGCCTCGTCGAGCTATGTATTGCGGTTTAGGAGTAGGTTAGAAGAAAGCTAGGGGCGGCCAAACTGAAACATGGCACAAATCCATGAAGTCACTGACAACTAAACTGAGTCTTGTTGGTAGGTGTAGACTACCTGGTTGGGGTCGACAGGACAATGGTAACCGATGGTTAGAGACCTTGAACGACATGACTGAAAATCATTTGCAATGGCGCATATGCATCCACTCTTTCTGTTCCCTCAAATTCTAACCTTCTGAATTCCTCATTAACCCCATTTTTACACGTTAGAACTAAATGTCTAAAGAAAACTTACACATAGATCGCCTTATAAATCAAAGATTATTTCAACAATAAGATGTATAATGTTTAGTATTTTTATAAAAATCATTGGAACAAACTACAATGAAAAAATTGTTTTGATAAGATATTTTCGTTGTTTATTCAAAGTGAAGAGTTGAAAATTTGTTTCAATATATTCGAAGCCAAGTTGCATATGAAACGATTATAAATGAATGTTTTGTCTGAATTTTTTGTAAATAAAAGGTTGGATAGATTATGTAGTATACATCTCGAATTTTTACATGACTTTTCAGCTAATAAGTTATTCTAACTAAGGAGCACTAAGCAGCTGTTTCTTCTTGGGATATGACTTTCTAGTGGTTCATATTCACGATCCTATATTAAAGATCATATTTAATGTTTCAGGATCTAGTAAAACGTGTGTTATCAGTGATTTGGAATACAACTGTCCACAGTTTGAACTTTAACTAATCCATGATTTGGTATTAATGGTACCAGATTTACTTCCAATCCCATGAATCAGAACTAACGACGATGGTGTTTTAAAACCAAATTAATTTCCACAATCTATCAAATACTACCAACAAAATTTTAATGCGTTTTTATTCTATATGCTTGACTGTGATAAATTTTTAAGTGTTAAAGCATTGAGTTACTTTGAATTTGATATTTATAAGTAGTCATGAATTTATACTTTATCTGACTGAATACTTAGAAACATTGTTCATATTTATATAGTCAGTCTAGTCACCTACAATGTAGAACTTTGTATGCACATACATCAGTTCAATTTGCTAAACCAAATAAGCACAGATGCAATTGTCAATTCAAATCCCAGAGTAGTAGAGGTAGTAGAAGTATTAGCAGAAATGGAGGAGATTAGGATTCGAAGATATCCTTCAACAAGTACAATCCAGTGAAATAAATTTAGAAAGAGAAAGATAAAGGTGATGAGTAATTCAGAAGAGTAGAATTAGAGAGAACACAAAAAATCGATGCATCTAGGCTATTGCAAACGATTTTCAGTCATGTCGTCGCAAAGTTTCTAACCATGAGTTACGATTGTCTCGCAGAGCCCAACCAGGTAGTCTACATCTACCAACATGACTCAGTTCACTTGTCAGTGACTCCATGGATTCAAACCATGTTTTGGTCTGGCCGCCCCTAGATTTCTTACGACCTATCCCTACACCACAAAGCATGGCTCGTCCAGGCAGTCAGTATTTTTACAGGTAAAGTGATAAATATATTTTTTGTTCATTAGCTAGTTTTAAATATGCCGAGCTGGTGTTTGATGTTCGGGACATGTTTAATTATGAAAATTTTATTACTCAACTAAGTAAACGTTTTTTTCTATCTTTGGTATTTCCGAACAGATCTAATGTGTGTGTTTTTGACTTAAAATATATGATTATATCTTAGTAGATCAAACTGTCTAGTCAATGTTCACAGTAATCACATAATATTGGTAATATCTGCAGAAAGGACTGTATTTCTACAATTGAAGAACATCTTGGAACTCAACACAATTGTCAACAAACACCATAGTCAGAATTTCTAATATCAATGTTAAGACAGTTCTACTGTATAAGGCGGAAACTTGAAGAACTATGAAAGCGATCACCCGGAAGATACAAGTGTTCATTAACAGTTACATACACGAAATACTCTATCGGAAACAACCTACTGTGGGAGAGAACAAACTAACTTCCCAAAGAGATAGAATACAGGAAGAAGCACTGGAAAGGGATAGGACACATGTTGCGAAAATGACCCAAATGCGTCAAAAGACAAGCCCTCATTTGGGATTCTCAAGGCAAACAGAAAAGAGGTAGACCAAAAAACACACTACGCCGAGTACTGGAGACAGAGACATGAAAAGAATGAACAACAATTGAACAGAAACAGAACAGAAAACTCAGGACAGAGTAGGTTAGACAATGCTGGAGGGAAACAGGGGTAAGTAATACAGTAAGTAATATTAGCAGTCATTGTTCAATTATTTTGATCCAGTAAATCCTAGTGTGCATTAAATTACCATATAGAATAAAAATTTATATCTGTTTTTCGATGTTCAATATGTATGCAGTATCAAGCATTTTCCAACACTTTATCATTGATTTGATGGATGGATAGATGCGTGCTGAATATGAGAGCATAATTTTTATTGAGTATTCCATTTAAAGTTCTAATTTTCTGGTTTATTTACTTATTCATTACGGGGTTGTGAAGATTGTTAAGTTATACAATTTTGAAACCATGAATCGATCAATGTTAGACAACCATTAGAAACCTGGAAGCACTGGACGGCCGTTTCGTCGTGGTACAGAAACCCATCAGCAGTGCGCATCCACGACTCCTGCACCCCGCAGGATTCGAACCTGGGACCTTCGGTATTGTGCGCGAACGCCCTATCCGTTAAGAAAGTTGAGATATAAATAGAGATAGTTTAAAATGACTGAAAATGAAATCCTCATTGAAAAGTATGATCTTATTATTATACACAGTACTCATTCAATAAAATAAATGACAAATGCTCCAACATTGTACTTTTATTGACATTTAAAAAAAACAGGATGATTAGTTTCAGATGATAATTATTGTCATCATAAACATAAAGTGCAATTTCGATTGGTTGTGTCAATCATGCAGTGTGAGTGTGTGTTTGTATGTGTGTAACTATTCTACAGTTTGTTACAATACCAGATTAAAAGGAAAACCAAAGGAATATGATTTGTGTGTACAACAACATTGAGATATTGAACTTACAATCAAGATTAGGACCAGCTTTTTTAGAGATAAGATTATTGAGTAAATAAGAAGTAAATGACATATTTTTTTTTGCTGACATGATATTCCAATAAAAAGGAATGTAAAGTGAGTGCTAATCATATTAATTGCTTTCAATTGACAATAATCAGTAAAACTTATGGTACAGGTTTGGAGAAAAAGACACACATTCGCAAGTCGTTAAGATAAAGTCAGTTTCTGGCAGACGTAACCTGCGTCACCTATGGCGCAGGTGAGATATCTGTTTGCTGAATAAAGGGCGAGTGTACTGCGCAGTAGTTCACTCCGTCTTACTTTATGGCTGTCAAATATGGCCAGTGAGAGCAGATATTCGTAGGTTACTGGTTTTCGATCATAGGTGTAGCCGAAGCATTGTTCGTATATCGTGGGACACCCAAGTGAGCAACGCTGTTATTAGGAATCGGGTGCTAGGTAAGAATGGCAGATCAATAGATGAAGTAATGAAA